CATACATTCATAATATTTGTTGCTAAGGATATGGAGAAATCCAATCATTTTAACAAGGGCAGTAGGGGTATTCATTTTCACTGACAACTATTGTATCAAATATGAGTTACTTTTGAAGAGGTTAAGTCAAGGTAGGGTAGGGGGTGCCTTTTCCAACGGATGATGACATCCATTCAACACATGTTGTTTGGTCTTTTTCAATGACAAAATTTTTCAGCACTTTTGTTTCGCCATTAAATTTGTACTTGTATACATAAAGATATTTCTGAAAATTTTTTCTAAAAGTGATGTTCAATGCATTGTATTGAACTACCATTTAAAAATATTATTCTTAATTTTAATTACTAATACATTATACTTCTTTTAAAATCAATTAATGTAATAGAATTACTTATATATATTTTACCAAGATTTTCTAAAACAAAAAATTTCAAAAACAATTTCATTCATAAGTCCTGAAAGTTTCATTAAATCTGACAATTACTTGATTTTTGCAAGTATTTCCAAATCAATGTGTTTTTCACAGGAACGAATAACTGACCACTTACGAATAAAAATAAAAAAAATAAAAAACCCAGATTTTTAACCAAAATTTCAAATGTGCTAGAAAGGATTAAAAAATTGAATAAAATAATAAAAAATACTTAAATATTCTTAATTTTTTCAAAGACACATCAAAGGCACATTTTCTATTCTATCATTCTTCAAGTAGACATTTTCAAATTTGATTCTCAAATTTGTTACTTTTGACAACAATTTAGACCCGGGATGCATAAAGTATGAATTTTTTCAGCATGATCTCACCCACCAGCTGACTAGAGATTAAAAGGATTTTTACTTTTGAAATTGACATATGAATGAGATTTCTTCAAGTGTTCTTATTTTTTAAAAATTTGAAATTTTTGAGATTTTACTAAAACATTTTATTATTGTAAAATAATTTTTTTTCCTTTCAACTACAAATTTAATGAGTGTTAATTAATTTACTGTCACATCCCTAATTTATTGTGGTTAATCAGTTCCAGACCGTGGTAGGGTCTGGAACTGATTGTGGTAGAATCAGTGACTTTCCACAAAATAGAATTTTTTTTTATTTATAAATCAAATATTTTAATAGAGAATAGAAAACCCGTTTACGACCTTCTAAATATGATTTTTGACATTATAAAAGCTCTCTAGACATAAAATGACACCTCTGTAATCACCTTTTCACTTATATTACTGAATACATTAGACAAAATAAGAGGAAATAAGACATATTAAGCATTACAAAGATTATATCATACACAAAGTTTTTACGTGTACATCACTTCATCATCGAACAAGTTGCATTATTTTTCTAGGTTAGTGTGAACTGAGGAAAATAATGCAACTTGTTCAATAATGATGCAATAAAGAGATGTACTGCACAACAAAGGTTACTGCTCCTCTAAAGCACGACTTCAGTAGAAGTGTCTTCATGTGGTGTGTCATCTTCTTTTGCTGAAGGCATACTAGGCCTAAGTAGTGGGTGTGCAGCTGAAAAACATTGTGATAGACAGTTGCTAGTGCTGTCTTTTTATCTGCATGAGGAGGTTTTTTTTGTTTGTTTTTGCGTTTTTTTTTGTTTTTTTTTTCAAAATCGCTCCATCAAGTGCATTCCAGAACAAAAAAAAAAAAAATAGAGTGAAGCCGCAAAAGTCAATGGGGTGAGGGACAACTGTATCTTTGACGGAGATGTTTACTTGTCTCTAACACCTTTTATCTTTGTTTTTCCTCTTTTCTTGTTGAGTGAGAATAACAGCTAGAAGACAAGCTTTCATATTCTTTCTCCTTTTTTTTCTTGTCACCTAGACAAGAAAATACAAAAGTAACTACAAGGTCATGAACTCATTCTAATCAAGAAAACAAATCACCGTTTTCAATAATTGCCAAATATTACTGATGACAAAGAAAACATTTTTCTTAAAGGACAATTGTAGCTTGTAAAAAAAGCCAGATTTCTGGGATCTGGTATTTTGACTTTTGTGAATTGAGAAATGAGATTTTGGGCGACTGTTGTTTTTGTAGGACTTTTCAAGTCACAGAAAAGGCCCTGTCAATTTTCAAAGACTTTTCAAGGTTTCCAGGACCTATACAAACACTGTAAACAATAAAAATGGTACATTGAACAGCCTTAACAAACAGTGATTTTTATGTCTATTCCCTCGACACCAAACAGTCCATGCAACAGTAGTGAAGATAACAAAAAAAATAATATAAGATCAATTTCTGCCACATACCTGAAAGAATGAATCCCTGCCAGTTCTTGTGCTAGAACCTCTTGTGTGGTAGAAATGAGATCAAGTGCTCCAACAAACTCATTAGTTGATAATAGAAGTTGTATTGTAGGTTGGGTTTGATGAACAGTTGATATCAATTTTAACTAGAAATAGTAAAAAAAAATTTAAAAAAAACAGAATAATATTTATTCAGTGAGCATTGAAAATTACCATCATAGAAGCTTTAGCAGAAAAAGTACTAAAACAATGATTACTTATCAACAAATTATAAAAATTACATTGAAAAAGATGAGTAAGTTAAATAATCAGTACCAATTTAGATATAGTAATAAAAAAAATTTAAATAATTTCCATATCAAAGCTGAAGATAAAACTAAATTCTTAGTTAAATGAAAATCCAAACTTAATAATCAATTTATATATAAATACACAAGAGGATTAGACTTTCTCCAAGCTTTTTGTTTCAACCTCAAAAAAACTATAGGCAATTATCATTATTATACACTGTTATTTAGACCAATATGCTCATCATAGTGGTTACAATGTTTTGGCCATTGTAATCTCCAGCCTTCTTCATGTGTCATCACTGTACTCCATAACTTCCTCAATTTTAAGCTGATCCCTTTATTTGATTATTTTCTATGTTTATGGGATATTTCACATCAGTTAATACTCACCAGTCTTATACAACTTTGTGTCACTTGTCCATTTCTTCCACTGAGCCAGAGTATATGACTTTTCAGTACTACCAGACCCACAGACTAAACTGACAACTGCCTTGGATTCAAATATATTTTAACCAATGCTTTAATCCATCTTAACAGACAATCTTCTTCTTGAAATTTTGTAATCATCCAGTGGTGAAATTTTGAAGCCTTAAACTTAGTCTGTACTCAGTGGAATTTATGAGGGTATTGACTCAGGTGGCGAATTTTTATGATGGTCTTATCAAAGGAATGTCACCTGATGAGCAGATTCTTTGCAGATATAAAATCAACTAATACTGTCCTATGTAGAGAACTCAGCTCACTTTGTGAAAAACACCGGAGATGTTACCATTCATAACAGGCAGGTTATGAACCTATTCACCAAGGTCCCCACTGATATGTCTATCAGTGTTTCAAGACAAATTAGATAACTGGATAGAGCTGTTGACATTCAGTGTGCAAACAACATACTTCCAATTGATATCCAGCATATCTCAACAGGAATAAGGCTTAGCTATGGGATCATCGATCCAGTAATGATAAACATATACATGGAATACATCAAGGAATTAGCTAAAAACATTACCACTAAAGTTAATCATGTTACTTAGACATATTGATGACACTTTTATACTCTGGAAGATGTGTTAAAACTGCTCAATCATGTGAGTTCAATATTACCTTCCATACAGTTCACAATGAAAAAAGAAACAGAAGAGCAACCAGCCTTCCTAAATGTAGTAATAAATCACACAGAGTATGGATTCAAAACATTTTTATATTATAAGATAGCATTCACCAGACAATACCTATGGTTTGATTTCTATCATTTGTAGTATCAATAAAGGGGATTATCCACTGCCTACAACATCAAGTAACCTAGACATATACTGACCAATAATTAACATTAGAAACACCCTTCCAAGGAGTAACTACCTTGCAAAATATCACCACCCATGAGCAAAAAGAGAAGGGCCACAGTCAGTTATGTATTCTGATTGGGACAGATTAATATATAAAAGGACATTCATAACAAAAGTCTGAATAATAAAGCATATAATAAGTGCACAAATCAGTGTCAGTAGATACATAAATAATGTATGTATATTTTTAAGTTTTCAGCAACTTCATCTTAAAACAATTAACACTTAAACCATGAGAAATATTTACACTTTAGTGATTGTTTTTATCATTATCTTCTTAGTGTCTATGCACAGTTCTGTTTAGGATCATATTAAAAAAAGATCAACTTTAAATTGAGTACATTATCTTCACTTACCTTATTATGAAGTTTTGCATAATTGGTTCTAGATCTATATAATTTTAGTATTTTTAATGATCCTTTAGCCAATGTCTCTTCAAGAGCATGTATTTTATCCCTGTAAAAATGCAAATAAAACAAATTCTGTTTATTATGTATAGATATTCATCAGAATCAATCATTTTTAAGTATAGTGGGTGGTAACAACTGTTGATTAAATTTAGCAAGAAGAAATAGAAGTCTTTTCATTATTCAATATGCTTTTTGAATGAGTAGCTTAATCTTTCTTTTTATGCCTCAACTTATATTTTTCTCTACCTTCCTCAGGTATTTGTTTAATCCATTAATCTTTAGAACTTTTACCTCTCATTAATAAAACAGAATTTAATAAATTCATAGGAACAATTATCAAAGTTTTATGCTAAAAAAAAAAAAAAAAAGTTAAAAACAATTTTTATTAGAGAATCCACCTTACATTGTTATAGTTCTTAAAAGCCAAAAGAAGTTCATCTGAATTCTAATTTTTACATGGTTTAAGAGGTGCATATTATGATAATATGTCAGATGGATAACAGTTGAACCTAGACTTGAAGAGGTCAAGATTGCAATGGTTAGGGAAGCATCTTCCTGGAGGACTGTTCCACAATGCAACAGTTCTTGGAAAGAAGCTGTCTGTCTGAAACTTCCTTCTTACCAATGAAATACAGGGAAACTCAGGTTGAGTTGATTCGGTGTACATGACATGGTGGATCCTAGCTACGAAGGTATGAACAAGTGGAACCAAGGAATGTAGTTCACCCAAACGTCTGCCATGAAAATAGTGATATAGGAGCAAATGGCTAGCAATGTTTTGCCCATGGAATAGGTATTGTAGTGTGGAAAACAATTACAAATGCTTCTGAAATCAAAGACTAAAATGTAAGTATTGGGTAGCTCCAGCTCAGATACAATAGCAATAGTCCATTTTTCTCTGACCTGGCTCTTGCCAAAATAGAACATAGAGAGTCAGATACTTTTTGGAGCAGTACAAAGAACCAACCATTTTTCCAGCATCTTTAGCAATAGATCATATATACAAGTTCCATTTGAAGTCTTATGTAAGCTTGAGTCCCAATAAACATTCCAGGCAAGGAGCCCCATTGGTAGCAGAATCATTCATCATGACTGGAAAAAATTCCTGGCTTGCTCTGTAATGATGAAATATTGCTAGCTTTGTTATGAAGATACTGAAGGTTATAAGTCAGTTCTTCCCCTGTTAAACCGTACAAACAAAGCCAGAAAGATCAGCTGCCAGACTCTGGCCATTTAAATTTTTAGCAGTGCACCTATAAACTGTAATATCATCTGCATATACAGTAGCAAGCATAAAGATCAGAACGATGTTAAGAAAAAATCTAAATGTGAAATAAGTTTTTATTTTAAGGCTTCATAGAACATTTTATCAATGAAAAATAAGGATATAAAGGTAAATTATATAATTCCAAAATATAAAGCTCAATAAACTTATTTTGATAAAGTTATAAGAATAATTATATAACATTCAAAAAAATAGATCCTAAACATCAGAACAATTAAATAAATCTATAAAATTTAATAATTATTTTGCATTATAATTTACCTTTATATCCTTATTTTTCCTTGCTAAAATGTTCTTTGAAGGTTTAAAATAAAAAGTTATTTCATATTTAGACTTTTTCTTAACATCGTTCTGATCTTTATGCTCGATATTGTATATTTACAAATGATCTGAGAATGTTTTAGGCAGATAGTTGATATAAAGCAAAAAAAAAAAAAAGGAGATAGTAGTTAAAATATGTTACTTTTCATGTTCTGATGAAGATGTGAATAGCCATTGAAATATTAACTAAAATCACCCACTATTTTTGTTAATAAAATACCAATTAGCTAAATGGGTTTTGCTCAGAGTTACTTTCATTTTAAATATTAAAATATTGATTTGGCTTAGTGATAGAAATGTATGATTTCACTTATTGATAAATGTCACTGCAACAAAATTATCAAGAGAAAACAAAGACTGCAGAGGAATTCTTAATAAATTATCTGTGTATGTATTCACACTAGGCTTAAACTAAAAATAAAAAATATTTTCAAGTCAGTAATAAATATAAAAACTATTTAAGTACATTCAGTATCAAAGGACATTAACATTGTTTTCTACTTGACCAGTTACATGCTAAATGATGTTAATTAACATCCCCCTCTTTGAAATTTACACCTTGTCTTCATTTTGTCCTTAACATACTGATGTGACTAATACCTGCTTTCCAGTAATATTATTTAGTCTCTGGAGAATCCCTATTATTTCATTCTGGGTCTATACTCACACTTACACTAATTTCCACACATTCACACAGAAGGTGTTATTTCATATACTTTTTGCACTAATAATATCTTTAGTTACCTTCTTGAGTTGTACACTTCATCTGGTAGTCTTTACAAGTTCCTAAATACTTTTGCTTTTATTTTTCATAGCCTTAGTAAAATAAGGCTGTATTAAGTGACTTGTGAAGTGTACCAAATACAATTTACACATGAAGAAGGTGGAAGAATATATCAGCCAAAATACTAAATTTTTAAAAAATTAAATATAAAAATTATAGCCAAAAACTAAATGTAATAATTAAAATAGTTAATCTCAAGACTTCAAAAAACAAGTAGATCTACTTTAATTCAATTTTCATAACTATTCATGTTAATAAAGTATAAGCACAAGCCATAAACCAATGTTTATCTCACAAACCATTGCTAGTAAGTTTAAACCACACTAGATGCTGCATAATGAGATTTATTTTCCAACAAATAATTATGTGATTTCTTTCTACAAGAAGACAAAATTAAGAGAACTATTTAAATGCTAGTATATTGCTACCCTACCATTTAGAGAATTTCCAAAATATTTCTTAAAACACTGTCTAAATCACTCTTTTTCATTCCAAAATCTATATACAATTTGAATGAATGAATAAAAACCTCTTAAGTGTGGACATTTCTTTACAATTATCTTTTATTCTAAGATCTACATAAAGTTTGAGTGAATAAAAACTTTTTTTATTAATACTGATTATTTCTTTACAATAATCTCATGTCCTGCAGACAATTTGGTTGAATAATAGCATTATTACATTATATTAATAGTTTTCCTTCTTTACAAGTGTCTTTCATTTTAATATGTATTTACAGTTTAGTTGAATAAAAAGCCATAATTTCCTAGAAAGCTGTAAATAAAACATACCAATCGAATGCCAAGGTTAATTTAATCAAACACAATAAAATATTCTAGTTTTTTGGGGTTTTTTTTAATGCCATGTCCATTCAGGATGGCTCTCCAGATTGCTTTTCTTTATCATCTGGGAATTACCATGATGTTTTTTCTCTTGATACCACTATTACTGTGTATTCTGTCAGCAATTTCTGTTTTAAAAAGCTACTTTTAAGAATTTTACTAAAACCTAAATACCTAAGAAAAATTATTGACATTTTGTAAAAAGAAAAACAAAAAAAAACTGTGTACCCAATAAAAAATATTGGGTATTTGTTGTCTCAGCTAAAAGCTAAAATTCAAAGAATGTTTTGTTTAGAGGAGGAAGAGATGCTCTCAACCTATTTTAGTGAATTTATGTAGCAAGAGCAAATGAAAGATTACCAAAAAATGCATTTTTTCAAAATTTATTAAGTTATTACTTATCATTATGTCCTAATTTAAAGTTTCTTGCTCCTTTATTCATTAACATTTTTATAAATTTATGAATAAAAGAATTGTTTTAAAATTTTGTAAATATAATAAATATTGTGACATTTTTGTTGTCAAGCCTCAAAAAAAAAAAAAAAAAAAAGTCTATAAATCCAGTTTCATGTGTTTGAGTTCAATTAAAATTCTAAAAATAGCTTTTAAAAACAAAAAAGTACCAAGAGAGTATATAGTAATATTGTTATTGAGAGAAAAACTGTCCTTATGGAACAGTTTTTTGCAGGTGTGTATGTTAAACTTTGCCATATATCTTATAGTCCATGTCTCTTCAAGACATGTTATCATGACTCCCCACAGTTTCCTGTGTCTTGTTACTTTAAGCAACATTCTTTTTTTTTTTTTTTTTTTTTGTCTGTTCTACCAACCATTCATCTAAGATTATTAAGTAGGTTACTGTATCCTTCTGCCCCTTCTCTAATATGTTCTGGGAGTGAACAAGCTCTATTTCCTTACGTATACAGAAATTCCAATTTTATTCCTTGATTTACGTATGATAAAAAGACAGCAAAAAATCAAGTTAAAACTTGACTATGTCCAAAAAATACATTACCAACATTTTGCAGTAAGTGAATGCATTGGTATATATTTTTCCTTATAAAATATCAGCAAAGACTAAAATGTATGGCATGACTTAAAAATATAAATAAACCCAGGAGTTATTCAGTCTATTTAACTCATTCTTTATGTAGATTTTCTTCTGACAATGTTTCAGCTGAGCCATTCTATAGCCTTATTCACATGTGCAATCCCTAAGTAAAAAAAAAAAAAAAAAAAAAAGGCTTTCTTTTTCACTAAATGAAAGAGAATATGAAGGGAATGGTGGCAAATATACCAATTAGTTCATGCGATTCCCAACAAAACAAACAAGCCTATTTTCAGCTATCAAAATACAATAAAAATGATTCTATATATTCTTTTATATATATCAGGATGCTTTTTATGACTTTTCTATTCATAATTATATTATAGAAGAAAAAGATTCCACTTTTCTTATGGATTGTACACTTGAGGCTTCAGAATAGATTGGCTGAAAAAAGAAAAAGAATATAATCAGACCATTTGTCTGAATAACTCAGAATTATAACAGCTAAAAATTAAAGATCTATTTACAATGTATTTCTGTAATAACATTGCAAAGTATTTCTCTGCAAAAATAATTTACAAAGAACAAATCCATTTATCTGAGGAACTTTCACAATGATGATAACTCTTAAAAATGATAAAAGTTTTAGAATGCATTTCAATATAGCATTATTGGCAATATATTTCTCTTCAAAATTAATTTACAAAGAATAAGTTTAATAATCTGAACAATTCTCAGAAAAACAATGATACTCTCAAAATCATAGTGCAAATAAACCCTTTTATGACCTTAAATGTAAAAGCCTACCTAAATCACTATCAATTTCACAATTAGAATAAACATAAGAACAATCTTCAGTTTGGCAATATTCAAGAATTTGTAGATATAAAGTTCAAACACTGTTTTTTTATTATTTTCGGCATTTGAACATTCACATCTAATGTCTATTGACTACTGCTGGATAGTGTATGACAACTCTCCCTAAATTTTCCAAACCTTTTACAGTGATTTTGCAGACCCAAGCAATGCCAATGCATCAACGCTTCCTTAAATTTCTAATTTCACCTTTACAGATGTTGACAGTTCCAAGTATACCAACTATTTTAGGCATGAACCTAAATTCTATATTCTATACTTTTCTTAACAGCATTTGTTTATGTGGTCAAATCAAAGTCATTTACACAGCTCCTAGTGTTTGACTCATATTATATTTATAAATTACACTAAATGGTATATTTTTCCAATCATATTTTGGTCATTTGTAAACTGCCCTCAATAATGGGTTATTTCTTTCTTTTTATATATAGTCTGTTGGTGTCATCTCTTATGTATAGTCCTTAGTTTCCTGATCCATCTGGTATTATCAACAAGTTCTTTTTTCCTAGCTTGAGAATAATCCAAGAGTCATGTGTATCTCACTCTTAATACTGTACAGGTGTTCGTCTCTTAAATTTCTGTCAGTTATTTTGTTTTACAAGATTTTTTTTAATCTTCAAAGTTACTCCTGTTTTAACTTTCCTCTAATTAAATCCTGCTTTATTTTGCTGTATTTGATTACTCCTTTGTGGTTCAAATTTTGATTGATTTGTAAAGTGTCAGTATGATTCTATCCAAAATCAATTTCCAATTTTTTATAGAATTTCTTTTGTTAATCTCTAACAAAGTAAGATATTCAATGATCCAAGTATAAAGACCATTTTGAAGATATGTCATTTCCACAGGGTCCCCACAGGTCTAAGCAAAAAAAAATTCCAGGACTATTCCAGGACCATGCTAAGAAATTTCAAGGACTGAAACTGATACATGCAGGCATGCACACACACACACACACACACACAAAGTGAATGGTCATCTATTTCAAAAACACAAACTTTGTGATTTATCTTTAAATACTTTTAACAGATGAGATGTTCAAAAGAAAGCTACAGCTGGTTCCAATAATTCATGTCACATGAATCTGTTGAAAGCAGTGAACAAATCAAAGTGTTGAAGGCTAAAACACAACTGAATGCAGACCTAATTATGTACACATTTTGTGTAGCATTCTACACAATTTGAAGTTTTACTACACTTGAAAATTTTGAATTACACACTTTAATTCTTAATGCTATACATTTCAGGTATCTAAACTACTCATGGTTTGTGAATATCACAAAAATCCTTAATTGCTTCTCATTTCCTTTGAAGTTAAGTATAATGGTTTTAATGAACAGAACTACAAATAGAAATGTTCACAAAAGGACTACACATTTTAGCTACCCCGATACTCATGGCTTTCATTATACATGGCACATAATACAAAGATGTTAACATTTTTTCAGTTCATCTACTTTAGAATTCAAATGAGATGTTCAAAGAAAAGCTACATCTGGTTCCAATAATTCATGTCACATGAATCAGTGAAGAAATGTAACTGTTGAAGGCTAAAACACAACTAAAGTAGATCTGGTTATGTTACACATTTTGTGTAGCAGAATACAATGATGTTAACTTTTCTTTTTTCATTTCATCTATTTTAGCATTCAGCTCCTCTTTTAATTTTGTCATGTACTTGTCATTTGCAAATCTTTGCATGGCATTGGACTTTGCAAAAAGTGTGAAGTTCTGAGTCTACTTCGCTTTCTCTATATAGCTGTCAAGCAGACCTGAGTAAATCTTGTGTGCAACTTTCAAGCATGTCTTTTTTGGTCTTCAATTCTTCAATTTCCATAAACATGGGTTTCTTTTTTTGCCCAATTGCTTCTTCCTGGCTTTTTTTTTTTTTTTTCAGCCTCAAGGTATTTGTTGTATGCTGTTCTGGCACTGGAAGCACTGCAGAGAAGAGCCTTGATGATAGAAACATTCCCAGCACCTACAACTGTAGCCAATTTTCATTATTAACTGAGACCTATCTCCACTGAGGCATGTCCATGAGAGAATACCAGCAATCTGCAAACAACTTTCCACAGTTTTTGATATTCTTTGTTGCTAAACAAAGAAGAGTAGAACAAAGTGTCCACATAGTCATTATGCTTGCTGAAATCCTTGAAATTTCCAGCAGCCTCCTCCTCAAACTCTTTGTACTGACTGATCATGTCATCAAATCAGAATATGTTTTCTGTCCATCATGTGGAAAAGATATCTTTAGATTGTCTCTATGACAGGTCTCCCCACCACAAATTGATCCAGAGTTCAATCATGCAAGTGCCCTTACAAGAGTGTATATAAGGGGAGACTTTGCCAGAAGTTTCTCAATGATATTGATGAGCAGTGTCTTTGTTGCAATTGTGCATGCAAACAGATCTTTTGTGAACACATTTTCATTTTTGGATAAATTTTGCATAATCCTATCTGCTAGAAATTTACACTCGATATTTGCAGCATCTTTATGTACGTTTGGATTTGACAAAATTCCTAAAAATTCATTCGGTTTGGAAAATGTAATTATCTTTCTAATGTGCTTTTCTTTTACAACTCTTTCTCAACAGTTTCATGGTCATGCTAAAAAGACCATCTGCAAGGAAAGGAAGCAACGATTTATCACTCAGATGTTTTATCAGAAACGGTTCAATATCTTTCAAAATTGACACAAAAAGTTGCAGTTTCACTAGAAATAAAACATTATTCCCGTTTGACAGCACCGCAGAGAAGGACTTGGTCTGGGGACATTTTTCTTTTCTTTTTTAATTTAGTTCACAAATTTGATGACCTCTAGGAGTCATTCATACATTTGTACATTTTCTAACCATCTATGGCAGAAATACAAAAGTAAAGGGACATGGTTGCCAGATTGAACTTTTAATATAAGCCAAGCAATAAAAGCTAAATAATTTTTAATACATTTCATTTTTTCACAATAGAGATACAGGTCATTATTAAGCCGGTAAACTTTAAAAATAACATTCTTCTTATTTTTTTTAAAGACTCATTTTTTATCCTATCCTAAGACACATCAAAGGCACATTTTCTATTCTATCATCCTTCAAGTATACATTTTCTTTGAGTCATATTTGATTCACAAACTTGTTACTTTTGTCAACAATTTAGACAAAGGTAGTTTACACATAGGTATACATTGACCCAGAATGCATAAAGTATTTTTTTTTTAAGCATGAACTCACCGACCAGCTGACTAGAGATCAAAAGGTCTTTTTAATTTTGAAATTGACATGTGAATAAAATTTTTTCAATTGTTCCAATTTTAAAAAATGCTGATAAAATTTTCGAGATTCTACTAAAATGTACTTTATTACTGTAAAATAATTTATTTTCCTTTCAACTACAAATTCAATGAATGTGAATTAATTTATCATTGATGGAGATGTTCACTATCTCTAACGCTTTTTATCTTTGTTTTTCCTCTTTTCTTGTCGAGTGAGAGTAACAGCTAGAAGACAAGCTTTCATATTCTTTCTCCTTTTCTCTGTAGTAACCTAGACAAGAAAATACACAACTACAAGGTCATGAACTTGTTCTAACAAAATTGCCAAATATTACTGATTACTAAAAAGCATTTTTGCTAAAAGGACAATTTTAGCTTAAAAAAAAAATTCTGGGATTTGTCAATTTGACTTTCATGAACTGAGAAAAAGGATGTAGGCAGCCAATTTAAAAAAATTCCAGGACTATTCATGTTTTTAGGCTATTGCTGTTTTTCTCAGATTTTTTCAAACCCTGAAAAAGGACCTGTCAATCTTACAGGACTTTTCAAGGTTTCCATACCTATATGAACCCGGTTTCCAATTAGAAGAAAATATCAGGTCTCAGGTGTTTTCATTATTCAATAAATTATTCTGAAAATTATTCTGAAAATTAAAATTTAATCATCACTTGACTAATAAACAAAAACAAATCGAAAATAAATAAATATAGAGTATCTTGTGGAATGTTAGAGAAAACAAATTTAAATGTGGTGAATAAACCAACAAAGATGAGGATAACAATCATTAGTCATTAAAAATATTTCATTTAAAAAAGTAAAAAAATAACTACAAATAGCAATATTTAACTTAAAATGAAAGTGTATAAAATTTCCAAAAATAAAAATTTCACTACTGTATAATGTTAATTTCTGCAATCACCTAAAAAGAATTTTTAATTCATAATTCATTTAATCTCACTTCTAATTATATAAAATATGCTGAATGAGTACTTTTAAATTTAAAAATCTACTCAGTACAAAAGATAAGGCGGTGAAATATTGTGACACTTTAATGACTGATTGCAGAAACTTGACAATTTTTGTCCTTATCCACACATGTGTACATCTCCACATTAAAATGAACAAGTGTCAAACCCAATGTCCCTGGGGTGAGAGGGCTGTTTAAATATCAGAATGCAATAGCTATGATTTGGGATCAAAGAATTGCTTTTCAGTAAATATGTCTTGGTTCACAATGTAATATCTGTGCTCTCTGACATGCTATACACATACACACAATATATTGCATTTTATATACTATATATATATATATATATATATATATATATATATATATATATATATATATATATATATATATATGTGTGTGTGTGGATAATTTGATAATTTAGTTATTTGGAACATCAAACAGGTTACTTTCTTATGACAGTCATTAAATAATATATATAAATATTACCCACCTGAGTTGTTTAATTGCTCGACATGTGACTTGCATGTAATCCTGCAGTTCATCATGGGAAGTCATTGCATGGAAGAATGCTTCTGACCGCATAGAGATCTGCTCTCCAATTTGTACTTCAACAGTATCTAAATAGTGGCTCAACTGTTTAAAGAAAATTGTAAAAATTAACAGATATTGGTTCAACATCACTGCATTTCTCTATAAGATTTGCCTAGTTTTTTTCTATTATTTAAAAAATAAAATTTTAAAAAAATGAATGAACTAATATTATAACGGTACAATTTATATAATAGTTAGGTGTATATGTGTATTTAATTTTTACATAGTTTAGTATAAGTTTGTAGTAAAAATAAAATGTATGGGCAAAAATTCGTACAGCCACATGTCAAAATAGTAGCAACTTCAAATAGTCACAAATTAGATCTTCCCATTTTTTTCCATTCCATCACTTGTTCACTGCCACTTATTTTATATGGATTAAAAAGGTAGGTATGATAATCTATAGGCAACACATTCAGTCTATACCATCAACTGTTTTCTGTTATAAACAACAAAATGAGTCTGCCTCAGTTTTTCTTTGCATCAAGGAACCAATGGTATACCCTCTTGACTTTTTGAAGGTAGGTGGGTCTCTTCTGCACAAAGTTTTGAAAAGTCAGTATATAAATTTGAAATACAAAATTATTGAAGATGACACCAAAACTCATGAGTTTGATACTGTTAACAATTAAGAAACAAATGCCTTAAATCAAGAAAGTTAAAATATTTGGCCAATATGATCAGCCCATCACTTAATATGGTGCTTGTGGAAAGTCAGCCCAGAGACAAGACAATTCAGTGATTTTACCAAAGTAACATTCAGTTCATATTAGTGTCAAGATCTTAGCCAACAGATAATTTAATATTTTTTCTTTGATTAACAAAAACAATTAGAAAAAGAATTATGTTTTACATGACCTATATTATGATACATATTATACCCATCTCAAAAAAAATAATTCTAGTCAGAAACCAATTACCAATTCCATTAATGATATTATCAAGAAATGAAAACTACTTTAGTCCAATGATCATAAAGCAAAATAAGAAATTTCAAGTTTATACTTTGAAAAATTCAAAATTTTCATCTTTAATGTCAAGTTCCTAACATGATTCTCATTGAAGAAATCTCTATATATTAATATGAATACATAATACTTATCAAAAACATCAAAATCAACTTTCTCTATGTCGAATTAGACACTTTGTTTTATTAAACAGTGTAAATTACATTTACTGGTCTGCACTTTCCAGATATTTAATAAAGAAAATGTACTCTCCAGTAAGGTTCAAACCTGCATCTCCCTTTGTAGGAAAAAGCACCACCTGTGGTCAAGTGGTCTAAAGCAAATCCGATGGTTCAAATCTGTATCCACACTACAAAGTGGGGATGCAGATTACTATTTACTCCTGTCTTAATATTAAGTCTAATTGGTTCGATAAGGTCAAATTTGCAACTTATATAAAAATGACCTACATTCTGTTAACTGGAGTAAAGAATGGTTTGTTAATTTTAACACCTTCAACATGAAACTGGTCTCTTTTAATCATCTGAGTGAACCCTTTCTGTCTTCCATCAGCATGGCTAATGCTAAGCTCCAGTGGGAGTGACTTGTTGCACCTTCTTAGGCAAATGTTTTCTGTTGATATGAAATGGAAAGTGTTATGTCGTGTATATTGCTAAGTAAGCATTCGACTTCCGTTCTAGTTGTTGTCCATTTATATTATGAGCTACCTGCTCATATGCAAATTATACTAATTTGCATCTCACTACATCTCCCTATAACGGAGGGGCCTTATGCCGTGAGTACTTCTTGTACATCTTCTTGTGCCCTCCTGAACATCTTCCTTTATCTCTCTCCTTTCCCTTGGAGATCTAGATCTATCACGTCTTTCCCTATAATCGAACTGTTCCTCTTGCATACTGTGGTCTTCCTCTGCTAACTTGTCCCATTCTACTTCTTCCTCCTCTAACTCATCCCTCTCTACTTCTTCCTCCGCAGTTTCATTCTGCATTAACTCTTCTGTTATGTCAATAATGGGCATCTCTGAAGGCATTTCCTCATCCGATTCTTCTCCTTGGGATCTTATTTGGTCAGCATGAGTTAGAATACTGTTCCCATTTTCTTTATTTAATATTGCAGTATTATGTCCTTTCTGCATAATAAATTCGCTGACTTCGGTTGCATATTCCTGTTTTTCTTTTGTACCACATCTTTTGATTTGTGGCATATGACATTGTCAAAGGGGACCTTAATTGTCTGCCCATTAAGGCAGATGGACTTTCCGGCCTACCTGCATGTGGAATTGTTCTATAACTTAATAGTAGTCTTGGTAGAAAAAGTATCGACTTCCTCCTTCTGTTGCAAGCATGCTTTTATGCCATTCTTTACCGTCTGGACCATCCTTTCCACTATCCCATTACTTTGAGGGTGGTAGGAAGGGGTCTTGTAAGGTCTGCATCCTATTTTTCTTAACCATTCATGCAAATCAGCATCCACAAATTCTGGTGCGTTATCAGTCACCAATGTTCTCTGCGTCCCACTCCTCGAAAATATTACTCTTAATATTTGTTTTACGGTGGTACTTTTTTATCAGGTACTCTCACCACTTCAGGCCAACCTGAATATGCGTCTACTAATATTAATAATAGTCCTATCCCATTGACATAGGCATGGTCCATGTGTACTTTGCTCCATGGTTCTACTTCTAGGGGCCATACATGTATTTTCTTTTGCTTAAAATTCCTAAGTTCTGTGCATTTTTTTTGCATCTTCTTACGTAGTCTTCTCGTCTCTTGAGTACCCCGCCACCAAGCTTCCAATTTTAATCTTCTTTTATGCGTAGCTGCCACTCCACAATGTACATCATCGTGTACACTTTTTTAATCTGTCTCCTCTGTGTTTCTGGGGAACTACCAAGTCTCCCTTACATATTATCCCGTATTCTATAGTCATTCTATGTCTAATTTCTTTGAATGGTCTTTCAGCCATTGAACAATTTCCCCAGCGATTCTGTTTTATCCTCGACATTATTCTATTTAACACTGGGTCATTTGTAGTTTCAGTAGCCATTTTATCTACAGATATTACATCAGTTTCTATGAGGTGCAAGAATGTGTCTTCAAATTCCTCGTCGTTTTTGTCCTTCTCTTCTATAAAACCTCAATCTAGATAAGGCATCAACGCAGTGTATCGTATTCCTTTAACATATTCAATGTCAAAGTCGAACGCCATCAGTCTAATCGCCCAACGTAATATTCTGGACATTGTAACTTTCGGTAGCTCTTTTCTTGGGTTGAAAATAAATTCCAGTGGTCTGTGATCACTTTTCAACAAGAATTTTTTCCCATGAAAACTGTCTTGCTCTATCTGTTGTCCACACTATGGCTAGTGCCTCCCTTTCTATATTCGAATAATTGTGTTCAGTTGTTGCCATCCCTCGATAAGTACATTATGGGATGCCCATCTTGTGACAAAATACCAGATATGGACTGCTCACTAGCGTCAGTAGTTAGAGTTATGTCCTTCTTAGGGTCAAAAAATTTGTACTATTGGCTTTTTTGCCAGAATCTGTTTTAAGTTTTCAAAGGCTTTCTGTTGGTGTTCTAACCAAATGAATTCCACATTTTTTTTAACTTAGCAAATGGTTCTGTCAACTCATTATATTTTGGTACATATTTTCTATAAAAATTTACCAAACCTAAGAAGGACTCAACTCTTTTTTATTTTTCGGTGTAGCAACTTTTAGAATTTTCTCTATTAATACTTTATCTGGAGAGATCCTTCCTTTGATATTGAGTAACCCAAAATGATATTTCATTACTGTTGGTTACACACTTTTTTGTATTTATTGTCATACCAGCGTCTCTTAGCCGGTTCAGTATATTTTCAGTTTTTTCTTTTTAAATCATCTTCATTTAAATCTCCAACACATATATCGTCTTGATAACAGGTGGTATTTTCAACATTTCCTATTACTTTTTCAATAGCTTTTGAAAAATTGCACTTGTTTTTTATGCCATACGGCATTCTTTTCCACCTTAACAGGCCTATAGGTGTGTTTATGGTCGTCACTTCTTTAAAATTTTCATTTATCGGTATTTGGTGGTAAGCTGATTTTAGGTCTATCTTCGAAAATACTTTCATTCCAGCAAGTTTATGTAAAGCTACTTCCACATTCGAATAGGGTGCGAGTCAGCACAAACTTTATGGTTCACCCCTATTTTATAATCTCCACAAATTCTCAGGTCACCATCTTTTTTTCAATACCATAATGGGTGATGCCCATTTACTTCCTCCTGGAGGGGCAGGTTCTAATAAGTCTTCCTTTATTAGCTTTACATAATTTAGCTATTACCAACGGTAATAAATGCACTGGTATTTTTCTCGCCGTAGTAGGAGGGGAAACATTTTCTTTTAATTTCAGGTTAGCTTCATAATTTTTTAATTTTCCTGTTTTTTCTATTTCTATCTCATTAATCAACTTTGTTGAATTTATTTTTAACACGTCATTCCCCAGTAGTCCATGCGTTTTTCGGCAATTTGTAACTATAATGAGTACTATTTCATATTATTCTTTTAATTCTATTGAACCTTCAAAGTAACCCATAATTGCTATAATCGAGCCATCAAACTGACGTAGTTGTACATTGGTTTTTTTTTAAAATGGTTTTCCCATTTTTTCCCACAACTTTCTGGGTAATATCGTGACCTCACTACCTGTGTCGATTTGCATTTCGACACTACAGTCGTTGATTTTCACTTTTATTTTTGTATCTCCGTTCTTAGATCCAGTATTTTTGTATATTATCCTTTTTTACATTAAAAAATCTGTCTATTTTCATCCTCTACTCTTTCCACATTTTTTTGTTTTACATACTTCTTTTGAAGTGATTTTTTTTAAACACTTTGAACACGTCTTTCCAAAGGCTGGGCATTTTTCTTTTTCATTTCATGAATTTTTCCACAGTACATACAATTTTTTCTTTTTGTTTGTACCATATATGTTTCAGCCATTATTTCTTCGGGATTTATTTTTATTTTGGTTGTAGGTATGTATTAATTCCTGCTGTTGTATAAATTCTATACACATATTCAAAG